AACCAAATATCATTTAATTAGACTGATTTTGTGGTTCAAACATGAGTCACAATTTTAAAAGAGAAAATATAATAAAATTACTGTACTGCTATAAATGGATAATGTCACCTGTTGTAAGAATCTATTCCTGATATATAGCTTGACCAAAATTATTTCCATTTATGAAAAACATCTGACTTCTATTCCATAGATCACGTGATTAATCATTATTTCCCCTTTGTTGTCATTTTTCTTCTTGAAGTTTCTATTTTCTGTAATATTTTCTTCCTCTATGCAAAACAATATGTTTGATAGTAAAATGTTAAATGAGTGTGCTTAAATACCACACATCTACCAAAATAAGTTAGAAGAATCCTGAAATACTTTGAAAAACAGCAGAGGCAAGGACTCAAAAATAAAACAAATGAGAGTCAACAAAATTTGGTAAAATTACCATCACTTCTTTGATTTAATTTTATCCACTTAGTGGACTTACACTCCATCATTTTCAAAAAGGGAAGCATATATAAAACTAAGTATTTAAATTATGAAAAATATCTAGTTATTTAGATGAGAGATTTTTCCTGATTGCTTATTTTTTTAAATGTTGTGATTTGAAGGAGGAGACTAAACTATATAAAAAGTTTAAAAACACCAAAATCACTTACAAATTTAGGCTTACCTAGTTACTCTCCACTTCCCAGAGAGAATCTTATCTGAAAAACTGAAAGAATGATACTGGATGTCCTCCAAGGTTCATGGCCACTTAGACGTTCAGAGATTCTATAAACACCTCTCCCTTTCTTGATCGTGAATACTACTCATTACCTGCAGTCACTTCTGAGTCACAACATAAATAATTATTTATTTGTTTATTATTTATCATTTGCATAAGCGTCTCTACTCAAAAGTAAAGTGAATGCTGGAAATGAATCAGTCATTTAAGTCATATGGATCTACTAATAGCCTGCTGTTGGTGTTGTACGCCCTCAAGTCAATTCCGACTCATAGCAACCCTGTATGACAGAGCAGAACTACCCCATAGGGTTTTCTAGGCTGTAATCTTTACGGCAGTAAGTTTACCAGGTCTTTTCTCCCACAGATTGTCTGGTGGGTTTGAACCACTGACCTTTTAGTTAGCAGCCAAGTGCTTAATCATTTGCCACCAGGGCTCCTACTAATAGCCTAGATACAGCAAGTTCAGCGGCATCAACAATTAAGCACATATTCTAGCAGGTCTTGCTTGTATAGGTATTTCACTCATAAATGCTCAAATGATCATAAGAGTGCTCTTTTCTTTATTAGAAAGTGCACAAACAGAAATGTTATAACGACTTTTTCATGGTTCCATGACCTCAGCCAACTTGCCAGTTTAGGATCTCCAATGCTTCATTTCCAAAGCGTTACAGCCCACACAGTGCCTAAGGGGATAACTACCCCTGTAATGTCTGCTCTGTCTTCAGTATTGGATTTCTTTCTATAACGCATGCTAGCTATAGGGTGGTAGTTTCAGAACTCTAATTGCCTGACTTATCCTATGCCTCCCCTAAGAGTCACCTCCTCCATGCCACCCCATTCCTGTTTTAATTATAAAATAACAATAATAAATATAACAATAATACCAATCCCTAATGGAAAAACAAAACAAAACACAAAATTATTTGACAGGATGCCCAGTTATTCTTGATACTACTTTTTTTTTCTTTTTTTCTGTATTGTGCTGGGAAGAACACAGGCAAGAACAATCAACTGAATCTAGCTCGAGTCTCAGCTCTGCCATAAACTAGCTGTGTAGCTTTGCAGGTACCCCAAACTTGCACTGGCTCTAGGGTTTCTCATCTCTAAGGTCGGGCTTCGTCTGCACAGTCTCCGGGTGCGCCACCACACTGTGCTCTAGGGATGGTGGTCGCACAGCTGCTGATGTGCCTGGTGGCCCTGGAGCTGGGTGGTATGAGGTCCTCCCCTGCCGGTTCTCACGAATGTATTCTGCAATACCGTAGTTATAAAATCTGAGCCCTTTACCTTGAGGGTTGAAGTATCCCCACTGTGTTTATAAACTTTCCACATTGCACATACTAAAACTTGGTGAGCTAAGAAAAGAGACTGAGAGACACTCAGTATATCAGTGCTCAAATCAGAAATATAACCACAGCCTTTCCCATCATACACTTGCCTTAGCCTCTCTACCTCAGCCTCCCTCCCGTAGAAAGTCTGGTCAGTGGAAAGCATGCCTCAGTGACATAAATTCAGGGCATAAATTCTTTATTAGCACAAGTTATTCCACGTCACCTCTTCACCATTTGTGATTCAGTTTATAGTTCACACGGATGTGGCTTAGAAGGGCTAGTAATTTCAAGAACTCAAATATTAACAGTGTAACATCCAAGTGCTTATAAAACTGATTCCTTCAAATGGTTTTATTTTACTTAACATATTTTGGGGGTGTTTGGCAACTTCCCCCTCAATCCAGCTGAAGACTCCTCTCTGGAATTAAGATGTGGAAAGTACCCTCTCTATAAATAGGCTCATCCCATGCTATGTGAATCATGGCTGCTGACAGCAAATCAACAGATTAATTATTTAGCTTTTGTTAGTAATGATAATAACACACTATCATCTTCCCCAAAAGCTTTTCCATACCCGACATCCCCACGCTTGTAAGCCAGCCTTCAGGGCAAACTGAAGTCTGCGGCGTACAGGCACACACATGATGCCCGTGCACTGGGCAAGTTTGAACAGGTCCTGCCATCTCTCTGCCAGGTTATCACTGTCACACTTTAGCAACAGGGATTCACCAGTCAGGATTCTCTCTGCCAAGATGTACACTAAGTAGATGAAAAGGAGGAGCAAAGAAAATGTACACTGAAGAAAATAAACTTGGCCATTCCCTCAAGTTTTCTATTGTCTAACGAGATGCTAAGGGAAGAGCCCCCGAAAGCACATCATACAACCCTTCCTTCCCATGCAGGATTAAGCCATGCAGATTGCTCCTCTCTAAGTCAACCTGAACGAAGATCAGGGGCATTGACCCTGCCCATTCGTGACTATAATCCATCTATTATATTTATTACTTTATTTTTAACCGAGGAGACGAAGTAGGATCTGCTCATAAACATCACGTACGTATCCCAACTAGAGGGCAAGAACAAATTTCAGAGACTGATAAATCAGAGCCGCATTGAATTCAGAGCTTTGAAAGCCTTTGTAGGCCACAAAAGCCCTGAGAAAAGATGATCGCCAAATGATCCCTGTGCAACAAAACAGGCGTTTTAGTTTCCCCTAACATTCATTATCTACTGTGCAAAGATAACTCTACTTCTTTGCATAAATCTTCACTTCATCAAATGAGCAGTCTATATTAATTGGGTGTGAAACCACAGAGACTTTCCTGGCTCTTGCCTTGGGTCACTATCAGATAATATATATATATATATATATATTTACTCATATATATATATGTATGTATGTGTGTGTATTTACTATTTTAACATCGTCACAGAATAAGAAAATGAGCCCCCTATGGAGTGAATAATACCACAAAAAGCTAATGGCAAATGAAAGAAGATGACTTCTTCACAAGGCTTGGTCCCAAGTTTCTAAGCTAATTTTTAGCCGAACTTATCCAGACTTTGCAAGTGTTTTCTTTACCCCAGTGAACTGAGTCCACACGCCTCACTCCTGGAACTCAGGAGAACGCAATAATCAGAGCTGCCAAGAGGCTAACCGATACCAGTCAGCTGGTCCTGAGCAGCCTCATAGACAGCATCTCCTTCAGCTTGCCCACAGTAAAGTAGACTATCTGCAGATTGCAAATGACACTGTGGCCACACCCAGAAGGATCCATAAAGTCTGGTGGTAGCATAGACTTCTGCAGTCCTGCTTTCCTTCTCTCAAGCTGGGACACCAACCTGGCTTGAGCTGGGAATGATTATGTTCAAACTCAAGGTTTCTAATTCCCCTTTGCACAGAGAAACATATCAACAACCAACCATTTCAGTTTACGTCTGCAGAAGAGAATCAGCTTCAGAAAGGCCATGCCATGAGCATCTCTGATACGTCTGAAGTTTTCTTAACACACCCTGCAAATATTCTGCTGTTCTCATAATGTCCCCAAAGTGTGAGTGTGTAGAGGCTGGAGGGAATAGGACAGAAAAGTTAATGTGAAGAGCACTTGAAAACCCATGAGAGTGGCTGGAGGAAGAGAACAGGGAAAAGGAGGTCTCTGTAAAAGGAAGTGAAAAGGGCACGTAGGCAGATGGAGAGGTGAGAAGTTGATTGGGATGTCTGAAAGTCTGTCCATGGCGCCAGGTGTTGCTAGAAGAAGAGTTAGAAAAAGAGAGAATAAATTAACCTGATGTCTGTGAAGTGTCTGCTGTGTGTAAAGTACTATGCTAATTGTTGTGAGGGAAATAGGGTCTAAGCTTTATATCCTCAGTGAGCAGTACTAAGCGATGGATGATGGATGGATTGATGGATGGATGGATGGATGGATGGATGGATGGATGGATGGATGCGTGGATGTGTGGATGGATGGACGGATGGATGCATGGATGGATGGATGGACAGATGGATGCATGGATGGATGCATGGATGGATGGAGCATGCGTGGATGGGTGGGTGGATGGATGGATGGATGATGGATGGACAGATGGATGAATGAGAGAAAGAGAGAGGGAGAGAAACTGAAACAGAGATAGAGGCAGAGATAGAAAGAGAGAGATGGGTGGCCACTGCCCTCAAGGACTGTATAGGCTATTTGGGACCAGAAGCATCTATACATGCAACTCACTCCTTAGTCAAACCGTGCAATCATCAAGGTAGAAAGTGTTTTCCCTCATATGGGACGAGAAGCTATTAACTGGCAGAGGATGGTTGGGAGTTATCTGGAAATTAGGGAAGAAAGGGAACCTGAATGGAAAATGGGGATCCTGGCTCCCTTCCATGGGTACCATTAGGTGCTTTGCAGAAGGGAAGAGCGGGTGTCAGCCTCTGGAGAGCCGACCCTCTGGGCTTCTACTGACCTGGTCTCCGCCTCACCGGCCTCTTGCGGCCGCTGCAGAAGCGCACTTTGCTGAACACCCCGAGGACGTGCCTCTCGCACAAGGAGCGCCCGTCTTTGCTGGGGCTGGAGCGGCGCTTGGAGGCCGACACCCGGTCGCTGTTGGACTCCCTCGCTTGCCGCTTCTGCCGAATCAAGGAGCTGGCTATAGCCGCAGCCATGGCTGCTCAGCGCGGGGCCCAGGCCCCGGGCTCCGCTCCGCCCTCGCGATCGCGCTCCGCCGGGGCGAGGGCAGGACCTCGACGGCCGGGAGGGACAAGGTAGGCGCGGGGAGGCAGTGCTAATACTTGAGGAGGTTGCAGTACCGAAAACCTGGCGCCCAAAAGGTGAGTCAGAGTCTGGGCAGTGGCGACAAAATGTGTGAAAATCCAGATGTAAACTTCCCCGACCGCTGGCGGCGGGGGCGGGGCGGTCCCAGGCCTTCCAGAAAACTAGACGCTTGCACCCCAAACTTGCACGCCAAGGCGATCCGCGTCCAAGGGTCAGTGGGGAGTTTGGTCACACTGCGTTCGGGGTACCAAGTGGAAGGGGAAGAAGAATGTCCAAAATAACAAGCTGTGCCCCTGTTGGAGAGGCGCAAGCGTTGCAAGGTGTTCAAAGTATGTCTACACATACATACATATAAAACCCATTTACAAAGCAGAGTCTGGACCGAGGCGGGTCGAGTGTCCCCGGTAGAAAATACTGAAAAGTGAATAAAACGTTCCTTTAGAAAACGAGCCACCAACCGCGAGAGAGAAGGCGAGGAAGGCAGCGAATTAACTCCCTGCGGCCCGCAGCTCTGGAAATTAAGAGGTCCGTCCCGGCTGGGTGAGGTCTACGAAATGCATCGCACCGGCTGCGGTTCTCCAGGGGCCGGCAATCCGAGTTCTGGAATTCCGAGCCGCCAAGTGGGAGCGGGAGCGGTTAGCTGGAGCCTGGGAAGGGGCGCGGGGCGGGGGCAGCTGTTTCCAGCTGCGGTATGCACGACTCCCCGCCAGCAGCGCTGCAAAGACAGCGGGAGGCGACGGGGAGAAGGAAGGAGGGACGGGGACGAGCAGGAGGGAGGGTAGGAGGAGGAAGATCCTCGAGGGCCAAGCACCCCTAGGGAAGAAACCCGCCTGAGGCTAGTGCGGGGATCCGCGGGGTCCCGAGAGCGGGCGCTCTTTCTCTCTCCGCTTGCTTTCCGGCACGAGACGGGCACAGTTGGTGATTATTTAGGGAATTCTAAATCTGGAATGACTCAGTTGTTTAAATAAGCCCCCTCAAAAGGCAGCGATGCTGAAGGTGTCCTCTCCAGCTCGGCGCCTACACGCCTTTAACTGGAGCTCCCCGCCTAGGTGCGTCCGGGGCCGCAGCCGGTCTCGGCACGAGCTCAGATGGAGCAGGGAGCGAGGAAGGGAAGGGGCGCCCTGGCGGGCTCGGGATCAGGTCATCGCCGCGCTGCCCGGGCCCCAGGCTCGCGCGCCCCGGCAGTCGGCAGCTCCCCGGCGGCAGATCAGATGGGGGTTACCCGCCAGTCGCGAGGCCGCTCACTCAGTCCCGCGCGGCCCATCCCGGCAGAGGAAGGAAGTGACCCGCGCGCAGCGAACACCCGCGCGTCCGCTCGGGTGGGGCGGGGGCTGGTTGCGGGCGACGTCGGCTCGCGGCGGCTGC